CTCAGAGAAGAAGCTATTGAAGTGTTTGAGGAGTATGTTCACCTAAGCAAGGTAACGTTTCCCAGAGGCATAACACCTAGAGGCTGGAAAGGAAAACCGTTGGGAATAACGTTCTCTGATGGAAGCGATAAGACCTATGGAGCTGTAACATATTTCAGGTGGGAAACAGACCAGGGTATTGAAGTGAGGCTAATTGAGTCCAAGGCCAAATTGACTCCTTTGGATCAAAAAGGGGAAGCAGTCAAGGCTGAGATGTGTGGTGCAGTTTATGTATATATTGAGAAACATTGCCAAGTGGAAATTGACCAATGGTTCCATTTGGTGGACAGCCAAACAGTGTTGGGAGCTATTCAACGGGCTAGCTATGGCTACCAGTCCTTCTTTGCCAATAGGATTGGAGAGATCCAGAGAACAACGCTAGTTAAGGATTGGTGGTGGATCCCAGGTGACTTAAACATTGCGGATATTATCACAAGGGGAGGTAGTCCAGAAAGCCTAAAACAAGATTCTGCATGGCAGAGAGGGCCTGTGTTCTTGAAATGGCCAGTGGAGGTTTGGCCAATTAAGTCAGCTGCTGAGATTGCAACTGCTGCAAGAGAAGCTATTAACAGACTTCAGAGGAAAGCATTCTCTGCAGTACTAACCAGAAGTCTGGCTAAGAAAAAGAAAGGCTCCGTCCTCCTGGAGAAAATTAAAGTGGGCGTTCATGAGGGAGGAGGAAATGACCTCATTGCAGATTCAGGCAATTCTGCAAGTCAGAAGGAAAAGGCTAAGATTGCTCCATCTGGAAGGATATATGACTGCATAGTAGCAAGTAAGTTACTTGAAGTTGAAAGATTCAGCAAATTGTCCAGACTGATCAGAGTTACTGCTTGGGTGCGTCGAGCTGTGAAGAAGTGGCTGAAGATAAGAACTAAGACCTTGGGTTCATCAAAGTGGGAGGTAAAGTCTTTGGAAGAAAGAGTCAACGAAGCTATCTTGACGGTAAGAGAACAGGAGGATGCCCTTGAAGATCTCTTTCTAGCAGCCCAAGAGAATGTGATTTTTTCTGATACTACCCTCAGTAGGTTGGCAGTGTACAAGGATGAAAATTCTGGACTGTTTGTTTGTGGAGGAAGAATTCAAATCTTCAATGAGGATAAGACTGCAGTTCCAATCTTACCATATAATGCATATGTATCTACACTTTTGGCTCAGGAAGCTCATCAAGTAAACCATGAAGGAGTGGCTGGAACTTTGTTGAGAATGAGAAGAAAAGCTTGGATTATAAAAGGCCGCAGACTAGCTAAGAAATCCGTAGACTGCTGTGTGACCTGCAAGAAGGCAAGGTCGAAGCAATGCCAACAGATTATGGGAGACCTTCCACCAGAGCGGTCAGAACCAGCTGGACCATTTGAGTTTACAACCCTGGATTTGTTTGGACCTTATTGGGTAAAAGATGAAATAAAGATGAGGGTGAGACTCAAAGTTTGGGGAGTTGTCTTCTGTTGTATGGCATCAAGGGCTATCCATACTGATATTGTCAGTGACCAATCAACAGAAGGATTTCTGCTGGCATACCAAAGATTCACAGCTTTAAGAGGACATCCTAGGAAACTGTGGTCAGACTCAGGATCAAATTTTATCGGGGCCAAGCCTGTTCTTGAGGATCTTCATAAGTTCCTAGAGCGACAAGACAGAGAAAAGTTAGGAATTGAAGCAGCCAAGAAAGGCACGGAGTGGTCTTGGAAAATGCACCCGGCAGGTTCCCCTCACCGGAATGGTGCAGCAGAAGCGGCTGTCCGTTTAGTTAAGCGGGCCCTACTGAATCTAGGCTGTAACAAAGTTATGTCATGGGGGGAATTTCAAACTTTTCTTTACACGGCAAGCAATTTGGTCAATGAAAGACCTATTGATGCCAGGACACAAAGTCGAGAAGACTGTGTGGAATATGTAAGTCCAAACTCTCTTCTCCTGGGTCGTACTGGGAGAAAGGGGGATCAAGGAAGTTTTGAGTTTGAAGGCTATCCATACAGAAGGCTAAGAATCATCCAGGAAGAAGTCAACAAATTCTGGAGAAGTTGGTGTCAGCTGGCAGGTCCTAACCTCTTTGTAAGAAACAAGTGGCATACTAAAGAGCGGAACGTTGCCGTGGGAGATGTGGTATGGGTGGCTGACCAGAATGCTCTAAGAGGTCAGTACAAGATGGCCAGAGTCGTCGATATAAATGCAGACAAGAAAGGAACCGTGAGAGATGTAATGGTCAGAGTATTCCCCAGCTATCCTGTCTCGATTGTTAAACCAAACCAAGCAGAAACCGGCAAGAATGTCAAACCAACAAAAAAGCATTGTGACAAAATTCCAGCTACGATTCTGCGTAGGGATGTGAGACGTTTGGTAGTTCTGATTCCCATTGAAGAACAGTAAAGACATTTCAGCTAAGAAGTGTGTGTGACCTCCTTCGGTCAGTTGACCAGGAGCTCAAGTGGGAGGTGTTAAGTTGAATTTGAGAGAAAGAAAAAAAAAGGAAAAAAAAGAGACATGGTTAAAAAGTATAAATTCATCATTGGTAAAGAAGATCAAAATGAGTGCAGCCTATTGGTTGGGAGCACATGGTGCAACCTGGGAGAATCAAGGTAGCTGATTGGTCATTGAAACTCCACATCTCCAAACTCCACCAGGTGTGTGTGATTACTGGGAGCAAGAGGGAACTTTGTTTGCAGTAAATGTGCTTCTCCTACTGAAGTTGGTGGGTTTTGGTGTTCAAAATACCAAAGGAGAAAGACTGTTGAAAAGCCACAATGTTTCATCAACTTTGAGATGCAACTGGTAGGACAAAGACTTATTTTTATTTAATGACTACATATTTTGTGTATGTTTGAAAGGTGTTTAATGCTAGTAGTTTAGCATTTTACTTTCTAACTGCATAACAAGCTTCTTTATTTACATTGCTGTTGAGTTGCTGTGTAAATTGTGAATGTTTGACAATGGTGTTTGTACTTTTGTTGCACTTTGTAGTGACTCGTATCACATATCTGTTTCTGTGTAGGTTATTAAGCTAACCTTCTGGAATTATCATTGAGACAAGTACAAAAGAAGATCTAGTCAATGATGAGAGATTTTCAATAAACTGCTTCTATGATGAAGAACCAGATGGTTTGAGTTATTCCATGCACCTTCAGAGTTGATTGAGGCCTTTTTCAAGTTTGGGCAGACATTGAGGCAAAGAAAAACCCAGATAACTTGACACGCAGAAGTATAAATGCTCATAACGGCGTCGCCTACGTGCGTAGCCAACGCCGCACATTACGGCGTACCCTCGACGCAGAAGTATAAATTCGCCTTTAGTTTGCATTTTAATGTTTGTAAATACATGTATCATTGTAACGTAATAAATGCTTAAGTAGTTGCTTTATTAAATACAATTATGCTCACTTTGACTGAATCATTGTCTTGCTCATAATACCAGTCAATGAAATGTCGATTAAACGCTACTAGCTGTAACTAAAAATACCTAGAAGGGTATTTGTTTATGGAGCAGGGAAAGCAAATTCTTGTGGCCACAGAATTTATTTTCACGACTAATTGAGCTAATTAATTGTACTTGTCTTGTAAAACGTGGTCTGTGTAATTGATTACAATTAATTTGTGGTTAATTGCAGAGACGCACATGTATGCATACAAGTAAAATTTAAATAAGCATCCCTAAATGGGAGATTTATTAATATGTAAGACCAGTCTGATCCAAATATGTATGAATAATTATTAATTATCAATTATTAATTATGATATGCAAATTCCCCCCCTGATCAGACCCGAACAGAGTCTTTACACCTAAATGTTAAATCTAAATCTAAATGTTGAATCTAAATGTTTCAGGTGAAACTAAACTCCATCGCGGTGGGAGGAAGGCTGTCCCAATTCAATTATGCATCCTCCGAAGGCCGGTTCCGTCATTGTAGCGTGACGAAGGCTTCCCTGATTCAAACGCGACGCCAAATGCACCCTTCATTTCCCCGTGAAAGAGAGGACACATACATGGATACTAAGCGGCCTATCCTACCCCATAAGTCATTGCGTGGGTGACGACAGCATTTTTATTTTAAAAAAGGGCGGCCAAGAGTTCGGTGGTGGATGGCAAATTCACATTTAAATGTAAAAGTATTGTTTTCATTTAATCAAATAGCCAGAGAAACCAGTGTTATAGTTACAAGTTTTTGTTTTTTTCGTTTTTTTTCTTATTATTAATCTTAACTCATTCGTCAGCATTACATGCTTTTGTCAAGTGGAAACGCGAAAACGACATTATAGCCTACACTGTATTGTATTTGTTTGTACATTGTATTTCTTTATTATTCATTATTTCATGCAACTTTAAATGTGTACATAAAAGAGAATTCATGGCTCTGGATATTTGTTTATTTTTGTAAGGGTCTCTGAGTGTTTGCAAGGTTGATACATACTTTTGTGTAGTTTAATGTAAAATGTGTGTTGCTGTCCTGTGAGGGAAAATGTAGGCTTCACATTTGTACATGAATACGAACCTAGTTCCTTACATTCTTTATTTTGTTATTTTGAGAATAAAGTAACAAAATGTTGGTCCATTGTCACAATATTAACAAATTATTGCTAACTACAATTGTGTCCCATATTAAAGTGCGCACCTGAAGCGCTCTGATCAGTCTAGCCAGTGTATATATATATATATATACACTGGCTAGACTGATCAGAGTATATACAATTGCTCCCTCATTTAAAGATGGGAAAATATAAAACATAAAATATCCGTAAAATATAAAACAAAAAATGACAATAGCCAATTCTGTCTCCATAGCTATTTACTCAATTTTATTAAATGAATGATCAGGATGGCATCTGTCGCCTCTCGCACCAGTTTGAAGCTAAATATGACAAAATGTTATTTTCAGCGTGAGCCATTTTACAAACGGCGCCCCATAGCCCCACTCGGTGAATGTTTTATGTCTGTAAATGGTGTGTGGTGTAAAAAGAAGGCTACTCACTTTTATTTCCTTTTCAAGACTTAAATCGAAGAGTTCGTTGGACGGTCACACCAAGATCTAGCTTTCACTTCCTTCTCACACAGTCTATATGGGAAAGTGGCATGCTTAGCATAGCATAAACTTTAACTGCAGACAAAACAAAACAATAGCGATATATATGTTTGACAATGTCTATTTGAAAAGTAAGGATGGACGGGTCTCGGACTGGATGGACGGTTCACAATCAAGTCAGCCTATCTGTGCAAAGTTTTGTGTTGATAGCTCAAAGCAATCAAAGTTAATGCCCGCGGTGTAACTGTACGACAGCATTTTCATCAAAAAAGTAGAAATCACAGAGTCCAAAAAGTTCCCAAACAAGTGATTTGTGTGTTCTACTGAAAACAAGAACTACTTACATGTAATGACACCGAGGAATACGAGGCGAACACAACAAATCCCTGTCTATGGATTTTTTTTTTTTTTTTTTTTTTTTACTTTCAGAAAGTCACGTGATCAGTAAAACAGCTTTATTATTCATGTTTAGTTTAGGTCAGCTCAGTGTGTGTGTGTGTGTGTGTGTGTGTGTGTGTGTGTGTGAAGGAGATGAGGGAGTGCATATGTCCGAGGCGCGCTGCTTTTTCCTTTCGCTTTTGACTCCCGCGAAGGAAGAAGCGGAAAAAAGTAAGTGAGAGTGGCACGGTGATCGATGGGTGCGTGCAGGTAGGCTATGTGCAGTGTATTTCAGTGCAGCCAGTAAAATAAAGCACCCAAACTCTTAGGCAAGACGGAAACTCTTAGTAGCATTGGAGTTAACACGGGGAAGAGAATTTCCGGCCCTGGAGAAGACGAATCTCTCTATTATTGATTGTGTGATATCAGATGTCTTTGCCATAACGGTTTAAAACAGGTATATATCCAATATTACAACGTGACATTTTTCTTTATGGTATTGCTCCCAAAATTATGGACAATTCACATTTCGCTAAATAGCCTAAACTAGGCTATTACAAGTATGAATAAATGTTTGATACCCCTTACAGTACCATACTCCGTGTTCACTGTTAAAAGGACATGAAGCTGCAGACTCGGAGTCGGAGACCTGCATCTACAGTCCCCCTGCACCCAGAGTCCCTCATTTTCAGACCCTTTCGTTTTTCAAAGCAGCGCCTCCTATCAAATTGTATCGGATAAACATGTGAAGAACTTAAACCAAAACGTGAGTAGGCTATTTTCAATTTTATTTAGCGAATCGTAGTAGCCTACTCGTTTGATTTATTTTTTAATAAAACTATAGCTCATCGATACAAGTAGCCTACAACATGAATAGTCCATTTAATATTTGTAAAGATATAGTTTGTTACAAGATTTGAGCCGTTAATGTATGTTTTTTCGCCCTTTTCCCCCCGAAAATATTTAGACAGCTAACGTTAGCCTTTAACCATGAACTTTTTGTAGAAATGGTATTAATGCTGCAGTTTTATCTGCCCATATATTTCAAGCCCACAAAGTTGTCCAAAGTTCAAAAACATCTTAAGGGACACTTCAACAGAGCAGTGCAACATGGTAGGCTAACTAACATTTGCAAACATATTTTATTTTTATTTTTATTTTATTTTTTGAAACATCATAAGACATGTGCTATCGGTTCTATGTTGTAGGCTATTCCACACCATACATCGATGGAGTTGCCCCTGCCGAATCCAATCATTTTTATGATTATGCAAAGCGACTTATAAATGAGGTTTTTTAATGCAATTGAAGACGAAAAGTAAATAATAATAATAATTCATTACATTTATATAGCACTTTTCTCGGCACTCAAAGCTCTTTACATAGAGGGGGGAATCTCCTCAACCACCACCAGTGATCATTAAATTATGTTTAAATATGTTTCGTCTATTCTGATTTGTTTTGCTTCGCATTCAAAATATCAAAAAACAGATATTGTAATATTAGCATGGTAACGTTAATTAGACCATTATAGGTTGAACTGAAAGAAAAATTGGAATTTGAATAAAAAAAATATTTAAAAAAACATTCTAGCAATATAATATCACATACTATTTTTCTGAAGATAGTTCGATCTGTAATTGTATCCCTTCCATCAATAACAATCAGTTTTTATGGCACATGTATTAGTAAATATTTATTGGATAATTTATTTGGAGACCGTAATATTGCATTCTATTGTTTTTAATTGCATTTGGGATAATCGTGCGCTGTACTCCGTGTGAGGGTGTTATTCGATCTTTTGAACAGCAGGAGGCGCTGTGTTCGAAAAACAAGGGGTCTGAGAATGGGGGACTGTAGATGCTGGCTCCGAGTCTGCAGCTTCGAGGTGCTTCTCAATTCTTATTTGTGCATCTTCGTTTTCTTGTTCTCAGCTCCACCCCTGAATTTTTATTTTTATTTTTGTTAGTAGGCTATGGAAGCTTGTTTCCACCACAGAATGAAAAATAAAAAAGGTAATTGCGACTTTTTATCTCACAATTCTGACTTTATTTCTCAGAATTGCGAGATTTAAAATCAGAATTACGTGATATAAAGTCAGAATTGTGAGATATAAACTATTCTGAGGGGGGGAAAAAGTTAGTCTTTTGTTCTACTTAGAACTGATAACAAGCAATTACGAGTTTATATTTCACAAATCTGAGAAAAGATGTCAGAATTTATGTGTTATTTAGCATTACATTTCACATTCCATGCAGCTACTTCATTACAGTGACATAAAAAGAGTGATTAAACATTCAGGTAAAAATGCTGGGTTGTTTTAACCCAACTTTGGGTCAAATATGGACTAATCCAGCCGTTGGGTTAAATTTTTACATTACATTTTTAACCCAACATTTTGGGTTTGTCCATATTTGACCCAAAATTGGGTTAAAACAACCCAGCATTTTTTAGAGTGTAATACATTTATAATCTGATTATTTAAATGATTTGTGAATTCCATACATCTCTGGAGAAAACAACATCTTCACATCGCTCCATTCTCCTTCACAGCGTCATCAAGCTTCTTCTTTGTTATTCTTTTGAAAATGTGACCTCTGGTGGTGAAATAAATCACAGATTTTATTACCAGGTTTATTTATAAACAACACGTCTCAGTGGTATATTTATTTTAATAACTCACTTTGTCATTATCCATAAAAAATATTTCAGTGATTTATATAAGCTCAGTTGTGAAATGATAACTTTCATTTAAAGCATCTGTAAAAAAATAAAATAAATAAATAAAATAAAATAAAAATAACGGTTCAAATAAAAATAAATAAATAAATAAATTAGAAACACTGGGGTGGGAAAGCTATAACTGGCAGGAAAACTCCTACAATTTGGTTTAGCATGTTCTATATTTGCTGTGACCTTTTTATTTTTATTTATTGATTATTTTTATGAAAGATATAGAAATATTGTGTAATAACAGAGCGTTGCAATACATGAGCAGGAACGGTAACCAGGAAACCAATACAAACAGAACTATGAATGCCAGAACCAATAGATTTCGAGATCTTAAAACAATAAACAGGATCAGGAAATGGTAACTCAGAAGTAAATTTAGTTAAAGTTGTTTAGAAAAAAACTTGTGTCGAAAGAGCATTTAATTTGTATTCCTCAGTTAAAAATAATACATGCATATGCACTGACTGAACATGGTCAATGCATGTCGATTGTTTGAGCGCTAATAATAATATATTTTAAATATTTACTAGTATGAATTAGCAGTGTTGTTAATTTATAAAGTAATAATATTCTATCTAAAAAAAAAAATGCAAACTTTTAGACACCTGGCAAGAAATAAACAATTGTGACACACATGAATCCAGACAGAGGTTGTAGAGGTTTTATGAGGAGTCTAAGAAGAGTGTTAGCTCTCTTCTTTAGAGTTAGTTCCTGAAGGAACAGCACAAATCTGTTTATGGAAAATATGCAAAACAAAGAGAACGAAACTAAATGTAGAGCTCCTCAAAATAAGCGTAGAGAAAGTGAAAGTCAGGACCATAAAGCCTGTAATGCGTCTTAAGTAAGGCACTAAACTCCAGGTTATTTTATCGGTTTCATTTAACAACGTAACAAATGGCTTATGAAAAAAATACAACTAAAATGCAAACTGTTTTACTAGACCACTTTACTTATTTCATCTGTACAACGAGCAAATAAACATTGTGTGTTTAGTTTAAACATTAATATAGGGTGCAGTCAAAAGCAGTTTTTTCCAACTTCCAACTTCACTTCTAAAGATTAAATATTGATTTATTTAATTGTTTCATCGGTCAACAGGAGCTTTATTGAAGATATGTTCAGTTTTAAGAAACAGCGATGGATGTTTAAGTTAAGCAGAAGATTTGGTCACACCAAGCTTTCGCTTTCTTCTCAAATAAATAAAGCCTAAGAAACTTTTAGAATAATTTTTCAAAGAAGACTTCATACATTTCTAATGAACAAACACGACCTGTAATCACAGTCTTGAAAGTATACACGATAACAGGAATTGACGTTCTGTCATTGTGCTTTTTTGATCACCAAATGCAACTCCACTCTATAATTAATGTTGCATGAGCGCCATTAAAATCTGATTAATCAAAGAAATAATCGACCAATCAAAATAATCATTGTACATGCATTATAGAAATAAAATACAAATAATTGCTTTGCCTTTAAGACCTCCAAAGATGTTATAAATATATATTTGCATGTGAATAGTCATAATTAACATGAGTTTGTGAAATAACATGATCATGGATTAAAATAAGTAACTAATAAAAATTGAAATAATTCAATTGTGGTTTTAAGAGCTGAATGTTCTTTAGAGATCCTGCTCTTTTTAACCAATGAATTTACAAATATGCATAGAAATATGATAATTTGTTTCTTTTTTGGCTCAATGTTTCAGTCATTTTACAGCCCTCTGAAGCCGAGACCTTTGGTTGGTTTAATGATTCACGCAGCTTGACTTTCAATTACTTCTCTTTATCAAACGTTCAAAGTATTCAAACACAAGATCCCAGTGAGGAAATGAACAGTAAGACACTCTCACTGACAGCGAGTAAGATGTTTTATTTTTAGCACACTCTAAAAAATGCTGGGTTGTTTAAACCCAATTTTGGGTCAAATATGGACAAACCCGAAATGTTGGGTTAAAAATGTAATGTAAAAATTTAACCCAATGGCTGGGTTAGTCCATATTTGACCCAAAGTTGGGTTAAAACAACCCAGCATTTTTTAGAGTGCAGGAATAACACAACTTTGGTTTTGCAAAACCATAACACCACACATGCATTTACACAGTTATATTTTTAAGAGCTTGAAAAAAAATAACACAAAAAGGCCCAGAAATTGCAATAATTGCAATGATCTGAAAAAAAAAAAAACTGCACTGATTTCTACAATCAAGCAAACAAATCCTTCAGGAAAAAATGTTATATATTCGTAACACATTCACTGATTCTCTGATTAAATGCATTCGTCTTAGATAATGATGCCTATACGAAACATCCTAGAGATTAAGTAGAATTTACTTAGTAATGTCTTCTATTGTTCAGCCACTCTTCATCCCAGAATCTATTCCTAAGCGTATATCTCG